CTGACGCGACACAGGTCTTCAGTCTGACACAGATCCTCGTCCTTGCATACCAATCCACCGGTGTCATCTATGGCGACATTGGAACATCGCCGCTCTATGTTTACTCTTCAACGTTCACAGAGGCGCCTAGTCGCATCAATCTGCTTGGTGCTCTGTCGCTCATACTATGGTCTGTCACCTTGATGGTCACCGTCAAGTACGTCTTGATCATCCTACGCGCCGACAACGATGGAGAGGGCGGAACGTTCAGCACATACTCTCTTCTGTCTAAATATGTACGTCAAACAATCTGCGTAAGATCTTCAGTCACCAACGGGTGCAGGCAAACATCGCGAACAGAGATCCACGCGAAGCAACCCTAATACGTGAGTGTGCATCCTGCCATAGGTCTCCCTATACTGACTATCATGCAGGGATGGAGAGACACAATACCGATACTCTGGGCCGATCCACAAGGAATATCCGCTCAACCATCGAAAAGTCCAAGTTCTTTCGCGGCCTACTGCAAGTCATCGGTGTACTAGCCGTGTCGATGGTTATGGCTGATGGTGTTCTGACTCCAGCTCAATCCGTCTTGGGTGCCGTCCAGGGTCTCAACGTCGTGAAGCCTGATATCGAGAAGTCCACCATCATCGGCGTCACATGCGCCATCCTCGTTCTGCTATTCGTCGTGCAGCCGCTTGGTGTCACAAAACTGACGTTTGTCTTCTCGCCAATCGTCATTGTATGGCTGGCCTTGAACGCTGGGTTTGGAATATACAACCTTGCCAAGTATGTGTTCTTGTTACTTCCGAAGTACTCTTGACTAACGACTACAGCTATGACTACGCGATCCTAAAAGCTTTCAATCCTTTCTACGCATTCGATTACCTGATACGGAACAAATACGAAGGCTGGCGCAGTCTCGGCGGTATACTCCTGGCCTTTACAGGCGTTGAAGCTCTGTTCGCAGATATCGGTGCCTTCAGTCGCCGTGCAGTACAGATCAGTTGGCTCGGATACGCCTACCCGTGTTTACTGCTCGCTTACAGTGGCCAAGCTGCCTACATCAGTGTGCACCCGGAGGCATACTCTAACCCCTTCTACAACTGTGCCCCACCAGGATGGCTCATCTTTTCGCTCATCGTAGCCATCGCCGCTGCTATCGTAGCGTCGCAGGCCATGATCACGGCGACGTTTCAACTCCTGACCCAGATCATGAAGCTCTCGTACTTTCCACAGATCAAGGTCGTGCACACTTCGACAACGTATCATGGGCAGCTGTATATCCCCAGCATCAACTGGCTGCTGATGATCGGAACTGTACTTGTCGCTGCCATCTACAACAACACAACATCCTTAGGTAACGCCTACGGTGTATGCGTCATGTTCGTCACGTTCTTCGACACATGCATGGTTACACTTGTTGCGATCTTAGTGTGGCGCATCAAGCCATACTTTGTGCTCCTTCCTTGGCTCACCATCGCTTGTTTGGACGGTGCATACCTGTCATCGGCACTCACCAAAGTTCCAGACGGCGCTTGGTTCACTATTCTTCTGGCCTGCCTCCTTGGGTCCATCTTCATCCTCTGGCGGTTTGGCAAAGAGCAACAATGGGGTGCGGAAGCTAGCGATCGCTTCCCAACGACACACTTCGTAAAGACACTACCAGACGGCCGCCTAGAGCTGACCGAGCAGTATGGCAGCAAGTCTGTCGGAATCATGGAAGGTTTCGGCATCTTCTTCGACAAAGCCGGCGAGACAACTCCTATCGTCTTCAGTCAGTTCATCCGCAAACTAGTCACCATCCCCGAGGTCATCGTCTTCTTCCACCTCCGGCCGCTAGAAGTACCTTTCGTCGCCCCGGAAAACCGATACAGTGTTTCGCGACTCGCCGTCCCCAACTGCTACCGCCTAGTAGTCCGCCACGGCTACATGGACGAAGTCATTACCCCAGACCTAGCATCTCTAATCTACGAGAAAGTCCGCAACCACATCGTCGCACGGGCCCTCGAACGCGACGGTGAGATATCAGCTAAGGCTACCGGCGCCCAGCCGGAGAAGACCATGGTTACCGAAACTGTTGCTGGGAGTGGCATATCGACTCCAACGCGCAACTCGACTACTTCTGCACGTCTGGAAGCTCTTGAGCGTGCGTACAACCGTGAGGTGCTGTACATTATTGGTAAAGAGCAGATGAAGGTCAAGGTCGGCACGAACATCGTTCGACGATTCTTCCTCAAGGCTTTCTTGTTTATTCGGGACAACTCGAGAACGAAGATTGCGAGTTTGGACGTTCCTATGGATAAGGTTATTGAGGTTGGGTTTGTGAAGGATGTGTAATCGAGGAAGTGTGTATCCGTAATCTAGTCTTTTGGGCGATAATCGTTCGCATCGTGTCGATGGTTTTCGCAAAATTTTGTGTTGCGGCATGTCGATACCTCGGTACCTTTACGTGCCGTCGCTATTACTAAGTGGTCGATGCCAATGCGTCGCGATGACGTGCCTCCCTAGTCGTAGTCATTGCTTGGACCCTTCCGACGTTTGCTGACTAGCCACACCTCCACACCTCACCCTCCAACATCTCCAATTCTCCTGCAAATCTCCTAAACCCCCCAAATCACCCAATTCGCGATCATGAACAAGTTACCCGACGATAGTACCACCTGGCGTGTACTTTGCCAAGGCGGCAGGACCGTTGAATAGCTCGTCACCCCCTCGCGGCCTCAACCGCGCTCCTCAGCCTGTACCTCTTCGCGTCCTGAGCACGCACGCCATCTAGATTGCCGCCATAACGACATAAGATCAACACTCGTCTCCCCTGAGATGGGGTGCAATACACATGGCTTTACCAGGTCCGGGTTTAATTGCGCCGCATGTTGTGCCGTGGCGCGCATTCGCGGTGTGTCAGGCAAATCAGCGAGCCAGAAGAGACGCGATAGAGATTTCTTGCATCGTGTCGATGCGTGAAGCCTGTTTCGGGCATCGTGTAGGGTGGAGGTTTGATCTTCGTGCAGTTGGACCTGAGATGCATCTCCTTTGTTTCTGCTTTGTGGAGTTGCTCGTTCATCCTTCTCCTCCAGCAGTAGTTCCCACCCTACAGCTTCAGTATGGTGCTCAGCCTCTTCGAGTGGGCGTATGTTGTCGCCTACTTCACGTTCGTAATTGGCTTGCTGTCCTCGGTCGCCCGATTCTACTCTCGCGCATTGGTCTTGAGATCATGGGGTTGGGATGATACAGCTTCGTGTCTTGTGCTGGTAAAATATGACCAGCTTTGCGATGTCTTCACCGTTGCTTATTCTCTCAGGTCGTCAGTATTGTTCATCAAGTTGTTCTGCAGCTGTTCCTGAACCTGGGCTGTGGCAAGTAAGTTCGGGGGTGATCTGCTGAAATTGTGCGAAGACTTACTATCGACTCCAACAGACCGGGCAATATAGACTGCAGTTTCCAATCCCTCGATCTTCTTCGGGTAAGCTCTCCATCAGCGTTCTCGTGAGAGATAGAAGGACTAAGGAAGCACGCAGATATCATTCATCGAAGAGATCGTGATCTATGGCGAACACTCCGTCATCAAGATGACCTTTCTCTTGTTCTATCTCCGGCTTTCTGTTGGTCAAACGTTCCGCGGCTTCGTATATATTGGATTCGCACTGGCGTTTTCGATTTTCCTCTCTAGCTTGTAAGTTGACTGGTATCCGCAATTCATATGGCCGCAGACTGACGACATCTAGGCTCATGACAGTCCTACAATGTATACCGTTTGAGAAGATTCTCAACCCCATGTTGCATCCAGAGGTTAAATGCATCGATATGCGTATCATGATGCTCACTCCACCTATCCTTGTACGTATTGGCTACCTACACTCAGCCACCACACTTTGCGCGCATACTGACACGTGTCGCTTTTAGAACATCTTCATGGACCTCTACATCATCTGTCTCCCGATACCCTCTGTTTTGACCCTCCAAATGAATCTACGTCGTAAAGTCACCGTCGTCTCCGTCCTCGCCTTCGGCATCATCTCCGTCACAGTCGCAATCATCCGCCTACCCATCCTCATATCGGTATCCTCGATGAAGACAGATCTATCAATAGACGTTGGAAAGATGATAATTGTGGCATCGTTCGAGGTCCAATGTGCGATCGTTGCGGCGAATTTGCCAGCAATGAAAGCACTTTGGGGTAAGGTCAGAGGCAAATACAGCTCTGCGGGCAGTTATGAGCGATCGAACGAAAAGCCATACCATCTCTCATCGATGCGCCGAGGACTCCGAAATAAGCGCGCTTCTATGGGAACTATAACGAGGCTAGAGCAGGGGCTGACTGACAACGAGTCGCAAGTAGAGCTTGTGGAAGGGATACACAAACAACCAGGTCCACCGATTTTCGGATTTGGTGAGTCGCATTCCAACTCTGTAAAGTCTTCCCGGCAGAATTCGATTATTGTGACGACTGAACTGGATGTGCGACATACACCGAGGATATAGCGGCTATCAGAGATACGCCCGAGGAGCTTGCGGTAGAGTCAAGTTGATATTTAGCCCACTTAGCTCGGCATAGCGATTCACTCTTGCATTGCTCAGTGTTGTAATGTACTAAGCCGTCTATTAGAGGCAAAACTTTGGGATCCCGTCCTCACCCTCGCTAACGGTTCGTAATCTATGCCACCTCGACTTCATCTCGCTAAAAGCCTGATTGGGTTAAAGCCGCATCCCGCTACTCCAGAAGTATGCAAGTCCCAAATCCTTCCATCCCACTTATGTGCCACGCCGCATATCTTCCGACTATGCAGATCAAGCTCATGCTGACATCAGTCATCTCGACTGAATCAAAATGTACTGGCTTTTGGTCACTTCAATTGCAGGCCTCAGTCTCTTGACTCTACTTACATGGCGTCGGTACTTTTCCGCAATCAGCGGTATACCAGGTCCGTTTGCTGCTTCTTTTACTCGTCTTTGGCATATGCATCGGATTTTAAAAGGCAATCAAAACCTCGAACTCATACGCTTACATGAACAACATGGTAAGTGTAAAAGATATGCAGCAGCGCTTGTTATCGATGGCTCGCTCACAATCTCCCTAGGTCACTTCGTTCGTATCTCATACGACGAAGTCAGCGTTAGCCATCCAGATGCCATTGCAAAGATCCTCGTAGCTCCTCTCCACAAGGTACTACTTCGAAAGGCACACCGATCTAGTAGACGATTAACATGAATACAAGGCAAACTGGTACAAGATCCACGCTTTACCAGACTATCGCTTTCAATCACCTATGAGCACTACCGACCCCAAAAAGAAGATCGACAAATCAAAATACATAGCCGCAGCATATACCGTCTCCAACCTCCTCCGCTCCGAAGAGCACATTGACCGTACCTTCGAAATCTTCCTCGACTGGATGGACGAATACGCATCCGCGAAGAAACCAATACATCTCAACACTTACATCTCCTACCTAACCTTCGACGTAATCGGCGAAATCGTCTTCTCCAAACCCTTCGGCTTCCTCGCCCAAGGTAAAGACATCGGTAACTCCATCTCAAATTCCCTCGCTCTGAACGCGTATATCGCCGTAGCCGGTTACTTCCGCTGGATCAACATCGCCCTGCTAGCCAATCCAATCATGACATGGTTGTCCATCTTACCAATGGGTCACCTCTTCGACACTGTTACGTCTGTGTTGGTAGACCGAGAAAAAAATGAGAATGTGAGGTATGATGCAGTGCAGTACTGGTTTAAACAACATGAGAAGCATCCGGATAAGTTTACCAAACGGGAGATTGGTACGCAGGCGCTTGCGGCTGTGGGTGCGGGGTCAGATACGGTGGCTGCGGGGATGCAGTCTTTTGTTTATTATATGATTCGGCATGAGGATGCGTGGGAGCGAGCGCATGAGGAGGTCAACAAAGCAGTAGAGAAGGGGTTGTGTGGGGGTCGGGTGGTGTCTTATGCTGATGCGCAGCAACTTAGGTGAGGGGACGATTTCTTTGCATCAGCTTGGAAGAATATGCAGGACTGACATTTAGTAGTTTTGTGCAAGCCTGTGTGAAGGAAGCGCTTCGCATCTTTGGTCCCGTGCCCATGGGTCTTCCGCGCATAGCGCCCAAAGGAGGATTGGTAATTGGAGATCGCATCATACCTGAGGGTACTATTGTGTCAATCAACCGTGAGTCACTACTCCCCATAGATGTTGTCTGGTGGCTCAGCTGATTTTGCCATCTTCAAATACAGCATGGGTGATGCACTACTCAAAAGAGATCTGGGGTGCTGATGCGCACGTCTTCAACCCAGATCGCTGGTTAGCAGGGGATATCGCTGCGAAGGAGAGGTACTTTATACCTGTAAGTGACCTCTGTCCCCATACTGATTGCACAAGAGCATCTTTGTGTACATGCTGACTGATCTCTGTAGTTTGGAGCAGGTTATGGCGGCTGTCCAGGCCAAAACATCGCTAAGATTGAACTCGCGAAGATCGCAGCAACGTTAGTCAGGGACTACACAATCAAGCAAGTAGATCCAACACAAGATTGGCAGTGGAACGCCTACTTCACAGTCGTTCCACACTCATGGCCCGTATCCATCGAGAAGAGGGTATAACATTTCGGGTATATAACACGTCATAATAATGAAAGCCACTCGCTCCAACCTAAAACTCCAGTACCAGACCCAGACATAAGAAAAGGCGTCAAAGCCAACGATCCATACTCCCAAACGGCGGATACTTCAACCCACTCGGTTTCCTCCTCCTCATCCACCTCCCTCCCCCACTCGCACTACTTCCCACAGTACTGCTCACGCAATCCCAATCCCACGGCATGCTCTTGCTCAAGGCTTCGTAACCGGCTACTCTGCGTAAAGTTCCTCGGGTCCGCTCTTGCTGGACGTTGCGGAGGGCTGTGCGGGTGTTGTCCCGGACTGTCGTTGTTGATGCCCTAGGCTCGACGATTTGGGTGTGATAAGTTGGTTCGCGGGGGCGGGACGGTGGTGGGCAACGTGATGGCTCGCGGGTTGGGGGTGGAGGGCAAGGAGATGAGATGCTGCGTTTCCTGCCAGAGCCGCGGAGGTGGCCTTCTTTGATATCGACTATGCCGAGTCCGTGGTGGTGGTGGCTGTGACCATGAATTGGATGCATGAGTAGTGGATGCAGATGAGGGTGTCTGTGGTGGTGGTTCAGGTGCGCATCGAAGTGCACGTGATCTTGACCACCCCCTTCCTCCACCTCGAGGCTCATACTCGGTACTCTGACGCGGACGTCGCTGAAACGAGGCGACGCGGGACTACGTCGAACGCGAACGAGTTCCTCCGCACATGAAGAGTCGGTAGAAGGGCGCTGTTGCTTTTTGCCTTTGGCTGGTGTGAGGGTGAACCAGCACATTTCTGGTGCGCGGCGAGGAGAGATCAACGCCGGAATCGATGCGCGCGGGCAAGGGGTGGAGTCGTGTGGGCGGGGCAATACGATGGTAAGCAGTGTGTGAAAAAGATGGGGAGTAAGTTGAAGGTGGTCGCGAAGGTTGATAGTACGAATAAGGTGTAGTGTCGTAACGGGGCATTCAGAAGACTTGAAAGAAGAGCAGACAATGGGGTGAAGGCGGTACTTTATCCTATGGCTGACACACAATGTACATATGATCAGATCCTTCCGCACTCCTTCTCTTGATGGCGGCCACCTATGTATATACTGTTGCCCTCGACGATCATTTGCTACCATCACGCACGCTGCGCCGGACCTGCACGCGGGCCGCACGTATGCTTATACGTGAGAGGACAAATGAGACAGAGTGAGTGAAAACGGTGCCTGCATGATTGTTGCTGGTGCCTGCATATAGGCAATGCAAACATGTGTTCAAGTCCGCTGGGCGAGTGACTGAGGCTGACATGGGTGCGAGATGCGCGCGTGGGTCGGCGCCATGTCTTGCCTGACCTCAAGTCTCAACGAGCGGCATGTGACGCTTGAGCCCCAACGCCCGTTCCTGACTTGCGCGATGCGAGAACTTGTAGTACCTGATGACGTATGTAGAGGTGTAGTAAGGTCGTGCAATAGTCCTTCCGAAGGCATTTCCCTCTCTTGCGATGCGCCTGCGCCACGCTGATCCGTCGCTGTGTGTAACGACATGACTGCAGATATCTCTACACTCTTTGCGCATGCGCATGCCTGTGAGCATGATCGCATTCCTTCTCTTTAATTAAATGGAGTAGATGCTATTGCGATAAACGGCGATGACGCACGCCAGGCGCGCGGTACTCAGCATCGCTGCTCGTATGAGTGGCGATCACTGCGAGGTTAGTACTAGAGAGGAAGACGTGGACATGGCAAGGAACAAAGCAAGCGATAGTGCTCATCGCCCATAGCAGAGTCTAGGTGCAAAGATAGCTCGAGAGTGCGCAGGTTGTAGTGTAGGTCATCGGCGCTGATCCACCGGACTGGTGAAGGCAACAGCTAGACGCGGCTGTGTCTTGGCATTACCGACAACGCCGGAGCTTCGAGCTCACATCACCACGTCAAACAATCAAACAACCCCACCCCAACCACTCGATCACGTTTCCGATACCCTCTAAATCCCGCCAATACACACCGTCGCTGTCATGGATTCATTAGTATCGCAGTACAGCCAACCGGCGTATACAGAGGAAGGCCCGTCCGAGGAGGAGCAGTTGCAGCTCTACAGCGGCACCCCAGAGCTGTCTCTCAAGTTTGCCCTACCACCAGTAGCTCAGGTGCGCTATTCCTTTACTATAGCATATGAGGAGCGGAATGTACTAACAGCCTCATAGTCAGCGTCATGGCTCCGCGCAATGACGGACGACTACTCCAACCCCAACTGCCCCATCAAGATCGCCCACGGAACCACAACCCTTGCCTTCCGCTTCAAGGGCGGCATCATCGTAGCCACCGACTCGCGTGCGACGGCCGGAAACTGGATAGCCAGTCAGACGGTCAAGAAGGTCATTGAGATCAACAACTGCTTGTTGGGAACTATGGCTGGTGGCGCTGCTGTACGTACAGGACAATGATGAGGGGAGCGTCAGTATGGAGGGCTAAGTATTGACATACAACAGGACTGCCAATACTGGCTCGCATACCTCGGAATGCAATGTCGCCTCCACGAGCTCCGCCACAAGCGCCGTATCTCCGTCGCCGCAGCCTCCAAGATCCTCGCCAACCTCGTCTACTCATACAAGGGCATGGGTCTGAGTATGGTACGTCTTCCCCCCTCACAGCCATCCTCTCTCCCTCCCCATCTAACACTCTCTCCCAGGGAACAATGTGCGCAGGCGTAACCCCGCAAGAAGGCCCCGCCCTCTACTACATCGACAGCGACGGCACGCGCCTCGCCGGCAACCTCTTCTGTGTCGGTTCCGGACAGACCTTCGCCTACGGTGTGCTCGACGCACAGTACAAGTACGAACTCGAAGACGACGAGGCGCTCGAGCTGGGCAGGAGGAGTATTCTCGCTGCTACCCATCGCGACGCGTACTCTGGTGGTTTCATCAACTTGTACCATGTCAAGGAGGACGGCTGGGTCAAGCACGGCTTCAATGACACGAATCCGATTTTCTGGGAGACGAAGCTGAAGAAGGGCGAGTTCTCGAATGTTACTAGTGCGTTGGAGTAGTGTGGCGAAGGAGAGCAGCAGAGGAGACCTGGCATGCGGATATTACGTGGAGTAGGTCTCAACTGGCCCATGAATGCTATAGTGTAGCAGGTCACTCAAATCACGACTTAGACATGTCCAATGAAATAACGGCACATCACAGCATTTCGTTCACCAACTAGGCAGGGAGAACATTCTGTGAATAGGTGTGCATTTGCATTACCAAATCATACGCGACTAGTCACCATTATCTATGATACCATGCATGCAACCCCCCAAGACCTCGCCTAACAACTGAAAAAAGGAAAGAGCCGCAATCCATGCTGGCTGACTGGGTGTCAAAAAACGCCTTGACTCTCCCCTCCCCCTCTCCCCTCCATCGACTACGTAACACAGAAAACAAGAAAGAAATGACGTGCAATGTACACTATCCCAGTGTCAGATAGTTGGGTATAAGCAAAAGCCTCCTAACAAGGAAGTAGTAAACGCCGCGCAAGTCCCGTTGTCCCCATACGTTGGACATGTTCGAACGCCGTTGACCGAAATGATGCAAGACAAGACAAAACAGAAAATGATGTGGAAAAATCAAGGAAAAGGGAGGAGAACATCTGCAATGATAGTGAAGTAGTGCCAAGAAATGGTGTGGTGTTGTACGATGTGCTTAACGACTCCGCCTCCGTAATCCCAAATCCTCCTGTTGTAGCTGCTTGATGAGATCGAAACTCGCTTGGTCGAGATTGGGATCGATCATGTTGATCATGCTGCTCATGGGGACGTTCATGCCGACGTTCATGCCTCCGTTCATGCCGACGCCGATGCCGATGCCGGTTCCCATACTCATGCCGTGCTCCAATTTGATGCCGTTACCATTGCCGTTTTCTTGCCGTTTGCTGGGTGTGGACTTGGGTGTTTTGCTGTTGCGGCCAGCGCGAGAGGGCGTTTGACTGGCTTTGCGGCCAGAGGAGTTCTGGGTGCGGGCTTTGTATGAGTTGTTGAGTGTGGGCGTGACGGGTGGGGGAGGGAAGTCGGAGTTTGTGGTGAAGTTGTTGTAGTTGTTTGTGGCCGGGGAGGTGATGTATGGGTTATAAGTGTGGTTGTTGTTGGTCGCTGTGGGCGAAGCAGCGGAGACGTGTCTGGGCGAAACAGGTGATGACGGGTTGCGAACAGCATGGTGTTCTGATCCGGGCTTTGATGTGAAGCCGTTCGTGTGCGTTTGCGCAGTATCGTTGTGTGGTGGCGGACCAGGCGTGAGCGGCTCTATGCTAGGACCATGGACTTCGCCGTTGCGGCCAGTTGGTTCCATTCCATCCATGAGCATCGGATCGGTTGGCTGATACTCAACCGACGACATGACCGTATCGCCGTTTGGGTGGTACGAGTTCGCTACGTCGTGGCTGTAGTCGCCGTTCGTATATGCTTGGAGGGCAGGATCAACGGGCACTAGATCGTCGTTCTCGGGACTTTGATCCAGCGCCTGCTGGGCGGAATAAGCCATCTCTTGGAGGAAAGACGAACCGCCACTGAACTGATTCGGTAGAGAATGTCGCGCGTGCATGTCTCCGTTCAGATATTCGTCGTCGTATGAAGATTCATGTCTCATCCGCTTCGCTGTTGATCCCGAGTCCTCATCGCTGACTCTTCGTTTCTTTGACGCTGAACCCCGCGGAATGGGGATCTCGTTGGCCTTGACAGGATCGACGTTCCCATATTCATCGTGTATGCATCGACGCTTGCTCTTCCTACAGTCCGCACACGCCTTGACTCTGCCAGACTTGAGTGCATAAGGGTCGCCGTTCACATCAGCCATGATTGGGCCGCCATTCACTGGCCCATTGGCGGCGTTTGACAAGCTATCTGCAACAGAGTGATCGCTAAGCCGGCGTTTGACAGATATGCCGTATGAGCCAGAGAGGTCGATGGTGTGCATACCCGGCTTCGATGTATCAATAAGCTCGTCTTTGTGTTTGCATCGGATACGGCGCTTCCTACATGCATCGCATGCAACACGTTTTGGTCCGAGCTGAGATGTTTTGGGTGTTGTAATGTGCGGGTTGTTTGCCGATGGTCGTAGGAAACCAGTCAATGGTCCAGACGTCACAGGCACCATCTCGTAATTGTAGTTCTCCACTTCAACAGGCGGTGAAGGCTCGGGAATCATATCAGAGGCTTTAATGCGTGCCGAAGACCTCTCTGCGGTTGCTCGTAAGGCTTCATGGAGCGTCTCACGCTCCAGTCTCTTAACCTGAGCAGCACTGAGCTTCTTCTCTGTGGTCTCCATCACTTCGGGAAGAACAGCATCAGAGAAGGCCCAAGATGGTATGGTCTCGTTCCCCCGTTTCCATGCGATCCACATTGCAAAGCGTCGGGCTAGCACAAGCGGCTCGCCATGGCCCTTGGGGATCGACTTGTTGACAGCACTTTTGGTCTTTTGAGGCACATCAATTTTTCCTTCGGTAATCAAGACAGTTCTCCAAATGTAATTCAGAAGATCGCTCAGTCCTTCAAGTTCGTGCTTGGAGTAGTATCGTTTGTTGTAGTTCTGTGCGCCGAGGTGCGAGTTGTGACCGAACCTGTCCGGCTCGCAGTAGATGGGTGTGTCTCGTGTGAACTGCTCGCCACTTTGCAGAAGCTCTTGAACTGGACCAGGAATGGGATCTTCTTCCAGATATTTGATGGCGGTCAACCACATGATCTTCTGGAAGAACGGATACCGAAATTGCAAAGCCACCTTGGTGTTCTTCTCGATTTCCAGAATCTTAATCTGCATGCCGTAATGGATGCGGGTCAGGAAGTTACCGCCGATGACGAGGCTGTCCTCGGGAGTCCAGACTGCGTGGATCCAGCCAGAAGGAATCAACATGGTATCTCCAGGGTACAGATCTACTCGGTAACATTCCTTGACCTGTTTGCCAAGCCAGTCGTGTCCTTGATTTGGAGAAAGACACCAGTCTTCGTATTTCTTGAGGTTTTGCTTTGTTGGTGGGATGAAGAAGAAGACCTTCTTTCCCTTGACGATGTGATAGTAGACGGATGAACCGCCAAAGTCGATGTGGAAGTCGGTGAAGCAGTCTGCGACAGACATAAGGCAGTAGAACTGCACTGGGGGCGGCGCAGACTTATCATCCTCCCGCCATACGGAATCTTGAAGGTCCATGTCTCGAACAGCCTTGGGCCGCCGTATGAGCTTCCCGAGCCTGCTTCGAGATACCTCCAGACTGATGACATTCCGTACTGGCTTTTCTCCTTGTTGCTCGTAGTAGTCGGCCCACTTCCCCATGGTCCACTTCTTGCCTTCGCCTTCTTGTGCTTTAACGTCGATTACGGGGACGGGTTCGTTTGGACCGTACAGTTCCGCCACGCGGCGAACCGTCAGGCCTTTGGGTATGACCATATCCAAACTGTCTTGACCGTCGTCGACGACTGTATCGTACCCAACGTGTGATCCTGACCCATCTCCTTGCACCTCAGTATTTCCCATGACAACATCTTCCTCTGTTGACACCGCCGGAGGGTTCATGTCGCCAGGAATCACAATCGGCTCCTTGAACCCGTTCATCTTCTCGAGGAAGTCGCCGGTGATGAGCTGGGCCGGGACACGCGCAAAGGTCTCGGGGGTAAATTCGATGTCGCCATTCTTGAAAGCTGAAATATAGTGGTGCTCCGGGTTATCGTCTGAGGTCTTGAGAACGCCCTCGTTTAGACCAGCGTAGTCAACAGTTGTGTGGGCTCGGACGGATTTACGAACCTCTGGACCATGTTAGAACTATAAGCCCAATGTGCGTCGGTAGACCTACTCGTTGTTTCACCAAACTTGGGTCTACACGGTTCGCAGTAGAATTTGTTTACCTCCCGTACCTCCCGTTCGCTGTTGAAACCAGCGCAAGGGTAGTGATACCACTCTTTGCAGCCATCGCAGCCGATCCATTGCTCGCCGTCGCCGATTTTGGTAAGTGATTCGGACGATTTGCAATGGGCGCAGATAAGTTCTGGTTCGGCTGGAGCGGGCGCAGGCTGCGCGACAGTAGCAGCAGGAGCAGGGGCGACTGCTTGGTTCCCAAGAGGTAGTGATTTGGCTCGTGAGTAGGTCGAGAGCGGCTCGTCTGGTATTGGTGGAGCGGATATTGAGAAGGAATGACGACGTGCTTGCGAGGGTGAGGTTTGGGCGGGTTCGGCTAGAGGTACCGTAGGAATGGAGCTGTCCGTTGGGACCGCAGCAGACTGGTCGGCGGGCAGGCTCAGCGGCGACTGAAGCTGATCCGGGGGTCCAGAAGTAGTTGTAGATGGCGCACTTTTGGGCTTGGGAGTCGACTTTTTTCGTTTGCTGCTGGCTGAAGGGGTGCTACGAGATGCGCGCGCCTTCCCTTTTGGCAAGCCCTGTCCCTTTTTCGCCTTTGGCTCTTCTGGCGGAACGGCATCTTGCATCTCAGGCTGTGTAACGATAGTAGGAGCTTCTTCAGGCGGTGTATGCGTTTGCGCAGCCGAGGCGGTCTGGGCTATGTCGGAAGGTGCGTCTAAAGGGTGTTTCAGGTCGACGGGTGCCTGCGTAGGTTGGCTGTAGTGGTCGGATGACGGTGGTGGCGGCGGAGGCGCTAGAAAAGGATTTTCGGGCGCTTGCTTATGTTGTATTTGTTGTACTGGTTGCGAATGTTGTAGAAGTTGCGAAGGCTGCTCGGCCGGCGCTGATTGTGAAAAGACCAACCGCTTTGCTGTCGAGGGCGGAGACTGCGCAAGCTGCGTTGTAGCTGCCGTGAAGAAATCGAGCAGCAGCTCAGCTTCAGCACGTCGGTCATCAGGCACGGCGCTGATCTGATGCATGCCATTGCCGTCGTCGGCCATGTGCTCGACACTATAGGACCAGCCCGGGATGTGGCTCGTAGCCGGTCTCGACTGAGACTGCCCGTACTGTGGAGAGCCGTACACCTCGGAGCGCGCTCTCTTCGCGGGTCTCTCGTCGTAAGGATATATGGACTCCCTAGGGGAGGCGTGTACGGGGGCGCGCTCGCCGATCGGGTAAGGGAGGGTCGCGGGCGACGTCGCTGGGTGTGAAGCATGGCGCGAAAAGTCAGCGTAGGGCAAGTTTGTGTGCTGCCTGGTGACAGCGACATCTGCGAGGGCCTCAATGGGCGATGTCTGCGCCAGAGAATACTGCGGCGGCGGAGGTGCGGAGCGCGACGAGTGCCCGTACGTCACCGCCGGCGACGACTGCTCTGCGGACGCGCGCGCGCCCTCTCTGAGAATGAAAGCATTGTGCGGAGCATCATTGATATGCCTTGTGCCTGATAGCGACGCGGTTGGGATATTCGCATTGCCGGCGGGGTGCGCCGTCGAGGGCTCCGTGGGCGGCAGGATGGGCGACAGCGGCTCGTAGGCGGGCGGCGGAGGTGTAGGGGCGCGCGCCGAAGCTCGCCTGTACTGCTCCTTGAAGGACGAGAGGCGCCTCATGGTGGTCGTGGGTGCGGAGGTGGATGGACTGGGGCTTCGGAGGTGCGAGGTACTCGCCGGTCTGGCGTCTCAGACAGATGCGCGGCTATGGAGCAGCGGCACTATCAGCGGAGAGACGGGCGGAGTAAGAGCCGGGCATGGGCATGTCCTGCGGCGAGGCGACGATGGGCGCGGTCGCGGGTGAACGAGCGTAGGGGGAGGTTTGGGAGCAGAATGATGGTGGTGGAGAAGTCGGCGGGGATTGTATTGGGAATGTTGCGACCACGACCAGCACAATCCAACCACGACTCGGCCACGCCAGCGCCGACGACACACTCAGGGCGCGATAGGTAGGCGAGGATGCGGCGGCTTCACAGAGAGCTTTAAGCGCATGTGTCTGTCGTGTGCAGATGGTTGGCCGTTGCAGGAGCTCTGGGGAGCAGACAAGCCGCTTCATTCGCTGCAAGTCCGCGTCTCCGATTCGAGCGCTCGATTCTACAGCAAGGAGTGCACCCATCACCATATCACCTTCAGGTGAGACATCCACCTCATACAAGGGAGAAACTGAACAGGTCTGCAGACTACATTAACCCAAGACCTTGCAAAGGAGGTGACCTAAAGTCAACGTAGGCTCCAGGCTGTTCAGTTTTTCCCTAGGTTGGCGTGCATCTACAATTCAGTGCATGTCCATAATCACTAGATGCTAAATTCCCGATTTCACAGCCTCTCGTTTGCGGCGCATGTGCATCGTCATCTCGGTGCTGCATGAGTCGCTGTTCTTGGTATGCGTCCGCCACGTGATGCAGCTCGGCGCTCGGACGTGCACGCCATCCGCGATTGATCCCGCATGTTCACCAACTTCACTTCTCACTACAACCTCCCCACCACCCGCCTCCCATTACAAACCCTGCAGCCCGTTCTTTACCGTTCATCACAGTCGCCAAAGTATGAGTCGAGGAGGAAAATTGGCCCCGGAAGTCAACCGGTACGTCCGCCATGCCGCATCGCGTGCCAGTCGCAAGGCCGATGCGACCAACTCACACGACATCTGCGCTAACATGTCATGTCTACAGAGCTCTCTTCGTAAAGAACCTGAGGTTAGTAGATGCCCGAGGTATGTAATCTGCCACACGCTAATCCTCCGCCAGCTTCAACGTCACCCCAGAGGAACTCTTCGACCTCTTTGGCAAGTTCGGCCCAGTGCGGTACGTCGTCTCCCTCATGCGCTGGCGCATCTTGGCCTTCACCGTCACTCCAGGTTACTGACGTTAGCACAGCCAAATTCGCCAGGGCATTGCCAACAACACCAAGGGCACAGCCTTCGTCGTCTATGAAGACGTAATGGACGCAAAGTCGGCCTGCGACAAGCTCAACGGCTTCAACTTCCAGAACCGGTATCTCGTCGGTACGTAGCAGGCTCTTCTCCGACACAGCAATCACTAACAGCAGCAGTATTATATCACCAGCCAGATAAGATGCTCAAGGCCGCGAACGATCTCGCCGAGCGCCAAGAGAACTTAGAAAAGCTCAAAAAACAACACGGTATTGATTAGGGGTGCGCGAGGACTCAGGAACAGGTGACATCGCGCGAGCGAAGTAAAGACAAAACTCCTGAGGGCCTCAAGACCGATAGCGTAATCTCTAGAAGCTCTTCGAGCCGCGGCGGCGACACGCGTACCTCGACGACCGATTCGATTTTAGCGGAAAAGACCGGCACTCCTTCCCCGACGACTACACCCGCCTGCCGTAGCTGCGACTGGCGTACTGTAAAACGATCGTTGAAGGGTATATTCAAGTCGGCACACGGCGTTAAGAGGTCATGAAACGTTCACGAACCATGACAGATTGCTGCATTTTCTTGGAGTGGGACTTTACTTAGGATAGCTGGTGATGCATAGGGCTATAACAGACTGCAACAGGCCCCGGCTTCCTCTACAGCGGGCAGTCGGTACTCATCCGACTAGGAATCAAGGACTTCTGGTTCCAGCAATTACGTATTACGCAGTGACATGCTAACATTGATTTCTGAAGGTAACTACCTCTTGGTCCGTCGCACCTTCTACTTTCGGCTGCATCACGGGACTAGAACCGCCATTTGACCGAACTCGTGGTTTTTGCCAACCCAGTCGAAGCCATCTTCAAGGTCCTCCATCTTGAATTCAGTCACCGCATCAAAACCTCTCTCTTTTCCAAGCTTCAAAGCCCCCACTTCGACCATCTTAATTACGTCCCTCACGTCCTGACCCCAGTACATAGTATGACCATGAACCGTGATGCTCTTGAGCAGCAGCTCCATGGTCGGAACTTCGACACCTTTCATAGCACCGCCACCAAAGCCCATGATAGCCGCTCGTCCGTACTGCTTGAGCGCGCCGAAAGCAGCACGAACATGGGTGCTTCCCTCCGCCCCCATGGGCGTCATCTCTAGGAACGCATCGACGGGGCCATGCTTCTTCAGATTTTCCCTATCGGTATCGATGTCGTTGGTCCTCGGAACGGCCGAAACCATCTTCGGATGCGCATCTACAAGGCGTTGAAGCGCACGCCCATTCCTCCCCGTCACCAAAACAGTCGCTCCCATCGCAACAGCGATACCGACCGCCGCCCCAGAAAACGGACCCGTAGCAGGCGTGACCAGCAGCCTCTCCCCAGCCCTTAACCCAATCCCCTTGAGCCCACTATACGCAACGAAATCAACACACAACCACACCAGCTCCGGTATCGTATACCCCAGTTCCCCACAAAGCCTCTTTTCATCTAGCGCCCAGGTGTTCTCCAACGGCGCACAAACATACTCTGCAAACGTAGCGTACCGCCAATTCTGCGCAAAAAGCTTCTTGCTCCCTTCGGTCGTGCCTTGCATTGATCCCCACATGATCCACGTCTCGGGGTCGTCTCGAGCTCGCACGAAAGGTTCGAGTAAGACGAGTTGGCCGACGGGGAGACTTGTCGTGTCGGGACCTGTAGCGGCGATTCGGCCTACGGCTCGTCCGCCGGGGATCATGGGCGTGGGGTAGGTGAAGCCAGAAGTGCCGGAGAGGATGCCTGGGAGCTGGTGTTGGAGGAGGTTTGCGAGGATTTTTACGACGACAGAGCCTGGGCCGGGGGTGGGTGTTGGGATGGATTGGGGGATGAGGGGGCCGTTCCTTTCTTCTTGTAGGAGAGCTTTCATCGTTGGTGGGAGGGTCGGGGTGGACATGTTTGGATAAAAGCGATTTTCAACGTCTTGTGGAGTGAGAGGTTGGTATGGGAAATAGCTTAGAACCAGGTTTGTATAAACTTTCATGCATTCTACCTGCCAGGTTTTCCGTACTTATACCTGTTCATGACCATCTTGGTTGCACTCATCATGCCATGTCATCCAACCCGTCCTACTCATCTATCTCATTCTCGCGCAAAATCCGTCTACCTTCTCTCGGAGTTTACGCATATTACACGCTTCATACCTCAATAGTTTTGCCCCATCCTAGCGATTGAATCATGCTCGCACCACGCCTCCGTCGTTGCTACCTCAGTCAACCAATCAGACCAGCCCGTGACTGCTGTATACGAACGCGGGTTAGACTGGCTCCTTAGCGCAGAATCTCGTGGACCCTTCCCGCGGCCGCTGTATGCAGCACGACCTCATCGCTTACGCCCTGCTGCCACCGGCGATGAAGCAGCTAAACCCCGCGTTTCTTCCGTCTCGTACAGTCTTACACGCATATCTGGGTATATAACGGCGGCATGGACTCTTTATACGAGCACGGGTTAGACTGCATCTACCCACCTCCAATACCCTCACTGTTTGCAGACTTGCCGCACACCTCACAGGCACTTTATTAAGAACGGAACTCAAATTGAATCGACGCTATGCCTGCTCTCGTTCCCAAGCGTAGCGTTTTGTCAGCTGAAAAGGGTGTAAGGAAACGCCGCTGGAATGCGAAATCGAGGAGTGGGTGTCAGAATTGCAAGTTGAGACGGGTTAAGGTTAGTTGTCTTGAGTGTATCTATGGTTTAGGCTGGTTGGGCTGATGTTTCTTGGGTAGTGCGATGAGACGAGGCCGCGGTGCGCGAAATGCGTGACTTATGGCGTGGCGTGCGACTTTGAGGGTCAGGAGGGAGAGTTGGACGTGCATGTGGAGGGCGTGGGGACAGTTGATTTTGGGGAGCTATCCACGATTACGCCGCACCATGGGAATAACGGAGCGACTCGCACGCTGTGGAGCCCGATATCGTCCAACGGCGTTGTGACTTCTATGATTGGAGACTCTCTTCGATCTGGGGCGTCGGCGCTGGATCCAAACATGATTACTGGACAGTCATCTTGGGAATTTTCGGAAAGTCATCTTGAGATCCTTGCGAGATTTCAGAGTAGGACGTCTCTGACTGTCGGAGGTATGGTATAACATTGAACCGTTTTGAGTATGCGGGCTGACTGACGGAATTCGCATAGGCGAGAGAATGGCCCCAGCATGCAGAGACATAGTATGCCGCCTCACATTCAACGTAACGTCCAACTCATTCTTCCTGTAGCTGTTCAGAACTGACTTGTAGTGTAGCACCCATTCCTAATGCACATGATCCTTGGCCTAACCCTGATGCACGACTCTGCTCTTGCCCACTCTCCCACCCAATCTATCTCTCTCCAAAACGCATCCCTGTGCCACTGGTCCCACGCCACAACGCAGTACCAGCGTCTTCTCTCCGGCCCCATCCCTCCGTCGCAACGCGATGCCATCTGGGCCACCGGCGTCCACCTCGGCGCAGCATCTTTCTGGTACCTCGAATCCGATGACCCTTACGCCGTCTGGCCTCTCAAATCCTCCGAGCCGGGTGACCTGGCGTGGATGAAGATCGGAGAGGGAAAACGCCATCTCTGGCGTATCGCAGATCCAACAAGAGAGGATAGCGTGTTCAACCGCGTCCTGAAGAAGAAGACAGGCCCATGTCCTACGCCGCCTGAGTGGATGATCAGCAACGACACTAGTCTCGTGCCTGAAAAGGTTAGACTGATGTTCGGTATCACGGAAGAGTCTAATAAGGAGAATAACGTCTATCACTTCCCCGTCCTCATCCTCTCGCGCATCCAGCATCTACGCCTATCGCATACCAACGTATTGGATTTCCTATACTTTACCGCGTTTCTCACGCCCGATTTCCTAGCCCTGCTGGAACACAAAGACCCCAAAGCCGTGTTTTTGCTAGGCTGGTGGTTTAGCATGTGTCGCGATGGCACGCTTTGGTGGGTGACGCGTCGTGCGAGGGTCGAAGGAGAGGCTGTGCGGATCTGGCTGGGGAGGGTGGATAAGCGTCTTTTGGATTTGTTGGAGGAGCTGGGTAGGAGGAGGGTGCATGTTATGGAAGAGAGGTTCTGGGCTATGGAGAGGGTGGTGGATGAGGAGGGGTTTGAGACTAATTGGGCGTTGGATTCTAGAGGGAGGATATTGACGGTTGCTTGACAAGATAGCACTTACTTGTCGTGCTGTGTTCTGGTGTCACTATATTTGTGGTGTTCGTGGTGATGACGAATCGCGAGTCTGAGGCTGCAGGTGGCTGAGAACGGGCTGGATTGGCTGTATGTCGCCCAGCTTCATAAGCCGCCACCCAGCCTGATTACCCCGCGAACACGGCCTGATGTCCGCATCTTCACACTCATGATACTGTATTCTGTCCAATGTCCGGACTCGAGGTGGCCGGCGTCGTACTTGCGGTGCTTCCGCTCATCGACAAAGCTTTGAAAAGTTACTCCGCGAGTGTAAATGCTCCAGCCCATCTTCAAGGATAGACCCACTGACAGCAACACCCTAGGCTTCACTTGTCAAGACCATAATCAACTACAAGCTACAGTATGAGGAGCTGAGCATCAGGTTCGACATTGCTTACACGATGTATCGTGCTTCTTGCGAGCAGTTGATCTCACCACTTGCGATCTCACCCGGGGAAAAGGAAGAGCTAATTGAGCATCCGAACTCGCCAAGGTGGAAGGATCCACATCTACGTATCGAACTCAAGAAGAGGTTGGGGCTGCGGTATAACAGCTATTTGGCGGCGACGCAGATAGTACAGTCAAAGGTGGAAAAACTGAAAAGGAGATTAAAGCTAAGCGACGAATATCTGGTAAGCTGATCGATCATTGCTTCTTACGCCGCTAAGAAACAGCCATCTTGGATCAAAAAATCAGGAAGCCAACTCGTTGAAGACGAAACGAAACGTACGGAATTCTTCAGTCGAAAAGGTGTGAAGGAGATATACCGACTCGTGCGCTGCCAGGCCATTATTGAAGATATCAGCCAGGAAATAGAAAGAATTGGTAGCTTTATTGAGAACGCGACTAAGCTAGAGGCTCCGCGAAGAGAACGGCGGGCTCAAATCGACTCCAATTACTGGTTGGTTGTTCGTGACCACGCGAAGCGTGTCTTTAAGAGCCTTGAATCCCGGCTGACATGTCCATGCTCCTGCGAACACTTTCATCAAGCAAGCTTACAGCTGCGCATCGAGAGCGAGTCTTCTCAAACCGAATTTAGGGTCAAATGCATTCTTTCCCTTGAGAAGAACCCTGGGTCAACCCTCGTGCCCCCATGGAAGTGGCGTGGCATCGAAATAGAACCTGAGCGTGTCGATTCGTAAGTACACAATCATACCCGTGTCCAGGAGGTAACAGATCGCTTATGCTTAGACTAGACCACAAGTACGGGCTGTAAGATCGGGTGCACCATCAGTACGCTTTACAGCGTCCACGTCGTCTGCTCCCAACACGTCGCCCACACCATCTTCGAAACCAAACTCCCGGAAGAATTATCTTGCGCCAGAGATACTGGACATATGTCAAACGCTCAAGAGCCCGTCAAACAGAGGGCCTTGCATTGGCTACTTGAACGATGACCCATGGAGATTCCACATACATGAATCGATACACCGTCATCAATCGCCTAGTATCCGCAAGATTATGTCTCTACGGGAAATAATGAACAAACGGCTACAGAGTGGTGTTACCTGCGGGGAAAGGTACGTGAAGTTGATGGTCGCCAGGAGTCATCACATTGACTATTACTAGGATAGCGGTCGCGCTGAGACTGGCAGTGGCAGTGTTACAACTTCACGGCACGCCGTGGATCAGTTCCAACTACGGCCTTGGTCATTTGTTTTTCCCCACAAACGGCTCTGCGCCAGAAATACCGTTATTTGAGCCAGCCTACGTATCGCGAACGTTCATTACCGCCAATGTGGCGAGCGTAGAGCCTCCTGTAGTATCAGAGGCAAGGATCAGAGGCAAAAACCCGCTGGTGTATGCGCTTGGTGTTTCGCTCATGGAACTGGTCTACGGTCGACTGCCGGCTTTGGCGAAGTCTTCTGAGCTTGACCCTCAGGGTAATGAGACACCAAATACCGAGATGCTTGTCGCAGTGAGACTGTTGAAGCAGATCAGAGATGATGAACCCGGTAATTATGCGCATGCGACAGCATCATGTGTTCATTGTGAGTTTGGGTATCCGTATGACCATAGCTTGGATGACGATCAATTTCGGGCCAAGTTCATTGAACGAGTTATCATCCCCTTGAAAGAGGATTACGATGCGATAGCTTCAGCAAGGGGAAGGGTTAGCGGATATCAGTGCAATTAATCAATCAGGAGTTCCGTTTGACAAGTACGTTCCTTACGGGCACCTATCCACGTCGTCAATAGACTTCCAACTTTCTCATTGTACAGTTGTAGAATGATGGTATATTTCAATCAATAGTGTCTAATATAGCGCTATGACCAATGGTTGCAGATACCTCGCAGCTACGTTCGGACACATAGGCTCGCCCTCGAAATGACCAAAAGGGCTGGTAGCCATGGTCTACATTCTCTCGGGACCCGCCCTCCAATAAAGGGCGACTGCTGGCCATTCAAAAGGGTGTTACACAAGGCTAATTTAAATGTAATCGCCCTAGGCCTAACGCAGACTAAAGCAGTCCAATCCTCTCTCGCCCCCGCCTTCAGCTCACAGCCTTCCTGCTTCTAACACCTCAACTGATTAGATTCATCAATCGGTTCAATCGTTTTTGCGCTTTTTCAAGATGGATTCTGGACTCGCAACTCTCTACACTTCGTGTTACGGCTCTTTTCAGGCCCTGTTATCCGCTGTCCGCTCACCAAATCGTGACATCGGTGATCAGATGCCGCCCAGCATTATCGAATCGGAGCTGGACAAATTCATCCTTTGGTCAAACAATGTGGGCGCCATCTACTCTGGAGAATCTTGTGAGATATCTCTCGATTATCGTTTGCGCAAGTCGCCTTTTTACAAAGAAAAGGTATGCCTATTATCCATAGTTTTCCTCGACAAAGATCTAGGGCAAGGCTTACCGTGAACAGGTAATGGACTTTCTCAACAACCTAAACAAATATGTAGGTATCATCCCATTTTCCCCTTCAAACCTTATTTGGCGCTCTCAATATGAATTGCCACGAATTTCTTCCGGTCCGACGGGCTCTGTACTGCCTGTATCAACTTTGGCCGTCATCAGTGTCGATTCTCATTGTTAACACACAAGCTTACCAAATGATACAATAGCTCTTAAGGGGTACGTATATTCTGAATCCGTCACCTTTGTCTCTGCTAGACGTTGACCCTATTAGCAACGCAGATCGTCAAGAATGAAGCGAAGCCCTTTGAGGATCTGATAGACGCACATCTGGGTGTTGGGTTTATTGACTCCACAGAGGATTTTGACAGGATTCCTGACACAGATTCTGATACCAGCGAAGAACAGGATGAGGAACAAGCTGAACGGCAGTCTCGAGTTTTGGATGTGCTCACCTCCGCTAAAAGTAACGACCTGGAGCTACCAAAGACACTGCAATTAATACAGCTCATCATCAAGTCCCTATACAAACTGCCTACACGACGCCCGGCTGCAGTAGAACGAATCAGAGATCGGCTAACGTCACAATTTGCGCCATATCAGCAATCGGATATACAATTTGTACGGGATTTACACCCCGAGCTTGATACTGCTATAGCCGCTCGGCTTGGGCAGCTCGTGTCTCTTCGACGGCAGATCTTGGCTTACCAAGAAAGACACAACCAGAAGCTGCAACCAAAGTCGACAAGATATGGCCTCTCATCCAGGCTCACTGTAGACACACATCAAGAAGCGGCAGGGGTGGACTATACAATGGCCCACACAGAACAAGCATCTGAGATCTCACGTCCTTCAAAAGCTACGACGTATGAACATTCTCCGGATGGTCCCGAGATACAGAGCTTTGAATACCCCCCTTCAATCACATCTTCACACCACTCCAAAGCGTCTAGCTACGCGATAAACAGCATAGACGTCTCTATACCTCCAAGACCGAAGAATGCAGACGGAGTTCCACATACCTTCTTCCTCTGCCCCTACTGCAGAATCATGCAGTTCATACAAACGGAGAAATCATGGAAGAAACACGTCCTACGCGATCTTCGACCTTACGTCTGTACGTTTTCCGGTTGCGGGTTGCAGGACCATTTCTTCGAGAACCAAAACGCATGGTACTTGCACGAGACTCAGGAGCACCGCTTTTCATGGCACTGCAACGTAGAAGGGCATAGCACATACAATACGCAAGAGCTTTTCCTGGACCATATCTCGCAGAGTCATAGTACCAAGCTTTCTCGGGAGCAAACGACAGACCTAGCACCCATGTTTCGTCGTGCCGTCCACAACTCTACTGGAGGATGCAATTTGTGCTTCAGGGAATCTAAAGATCTTTGCAATCACGTCGCTCGCCATCTGGAACGAATCGCCTTGTTCGCGCTACCGCGATTGTCTGAGAACGACGCAGACTTGAAGTTGGCACAGAACGCACAGTCCTTGGAGGCCTTACTCAGTCATGACGGAAGCCTCTCAGCATCAGCGAAGTATGAGTCTGGCGACGAAGTCAGCGTTTCGCAGTCAACGAGTAAAGCATCTGATTCTGATGCTGAACCCGCGCCTGCCCCCGTCAAGGATGGGGAAATGCCGTCAGATGTACCTGATAATCATGTTCCAGATTCTGAAGATGTCAATTGGGGCGCTATCACCACCCAACTCTCTAAGGCTCGGAAGAACGACAGAGAGCCTGATGCTTCGCCGGAGAGCCTCCTGGACCAATGTTTTCCAGACACATTGCCTCAGACCAAGGGTGTGCGCTTCACGGAAGAGGATATACAGAAAATCGAGGACCTTTTACGGTGGTGTTCGAAGGATGCATGGGGTCGCATACCCAGGATATACATTGTTCTTCGATTGATCGGCCAATTAGATGCTATCGAGAAGTTCATCGAGGAAGAAATCACCGATATCTGGTTTCCATTCCATATACGTAGCTTAACGAAGCTGCTCACAGGGGAGATTGCTCAGACGCTATTTCTCGAGGTCCAAGAAGTTGTCTTCAACACTCAAGCTCTAAATGCGTTGTCCATCGAACGGGGAGAAGCGTCCCATGGCC